GGCACAGTGGGAATGAGGTGGAAACAGTGGGACAGTGGAGGGTACAATGGTGGTGGGGACAGTGGTGAAGGCGGTGGCGAGGACGGCGGTGGGACAATGGGACAGAGGTATAGTGGGGACAGTGGTGGGGACAGTGGGGACAGTGGTGGGAACAGTGGGACAGCTCAGTGGGACAGCGGCGGAGTCAGTGGGACAGTGGGGACAGTGGGGATAGTCGGGCAGTGGTTGGGGCCGTGGAGACAGTGGGGGGAGTGGAACCGTGGTGGGAACAGTTGGGGACAGTGCGACAGTGGTGGGGGCACTGGTGGGGACACAGTGGGGACAGTGGTGGTGAGGACAGTGGTGCTGGGAACAACAGTGGAGGATGTGATGCGGACGGTGGTAGGGACCGGGAGTCGTTTGCTGGCGGTGAGTGGGGGGGTAGGGAGGGGTTCGAACCGGTAGTGATCCCCCTCCGGTTTTCGAGGGGGGTGGGGGGGTTCGAACCGGTAGTGACCCCCCCCGGTTTTCCGGATCCGGAGGGGGGTGGGGGGGGGAGGGTTCGAACGTAGTGAACCTACGCCCCGGTTTTTGCGAGGGGGAAGGGCGGGGGGGGGGAGGGGGTTAGGGAGGGGGGGGGTTTGCCGGGGGAGGGGGGGGAGGAGGGGTTCCAGCAGGGGGGGGGGGATTTTCGGAGGGGGGGGGGGGGCGACCCCCGGGTTCCGGAGGAAAAGGTTGGCTATTTTTTACAGTAAAGCGGCGGTGGATCACGCTCTCTCGAATATTGGAATTGGTATTGGGTTTATGCTAAGGGTTGCGAGGGTGAGAGCCAGAATTCGAGGCACGTACGGATACGGGTAAGTCGATAGGGTCTTGGATCATTATCGGGTATTGGTTGGAATCGATTCCGGATTACTTTGTCAGGGGAAAGGCTTGGGACTGGGGCGAGAATGTGGACGAGTATTCAGGACGATGTGTTTCCTCTCACTACGTTCTCCGCACCTCATGCTCTCTCTATGCTCTTTTTCCTCAGTCTTCTCTTCCCGCTCGAACTCATCATCTTCTCATGTTCCTCCTGCTTATTGAATCGCTTCGCTCATTCCGCTGGCCCATGTTGCGCGCCATTGTCGACTGACCGAGTGGTCTTTCGCGGTGCGGAGCTGCAGGGGCGGCGGCTGTTTTTATCAGGCTTTGCGTTCGGCATGTGAGATTTCTTGGTGGCCGCTGGGGGAGTCTTGAACGAGTCGCGGGCCGTCTGGAAGCGTTTTGCCTATGGGGACTCTTTCGGGAGGTCCCTTTGTGGCCTCGTGGAGACTCTTAAACGCGTCGGGTCGTTGGCACTTATTTGCGTGCTCGGAGGGGCATTTTGGGGGCCTCCTGGGGCCGCTTGGGGGCCTCTTGGGGGCCTCCTGAGAGCCTGTTGCTGGCCTCTTTGGGCCTTTGAGGGGCCTCTTGGGGACTCCTGGGGGCTTCTTAGGGCCGAGGGCTCGAAATGTTGTTTCGTGCTCCCCCCCTGCGATCTCTCTTGGGGCGTTCTCGGGGCCTTCTTGGGCCGTCTTTGAGGCCTCTTGGGCCGTCTCGGAGCCCTCTTGGGCCGTCTTGGGGCCGTCTAGGGGGCCTCTTGGGCCCTCTTGGGGCGGTCTTGGGGGCCTCTTGGGCCGTTTTGGGGTGTCGGGAAGCCGAAAAGGTGGAAACGCCAACATCTCTCCGAAACCTTAGGGGAAGTAATGATTTTTGCCTCTTGGGGCCCTCTTGAGAGTGCTCTTGAAGGCCTCTTGGGCCATCTGGGGGCCATCTTGGGCGTCTTGGAGCGATCTTGTGGCATCTCGGAGCTCTCTTGTATCATCTTGAGGGGCTCTTGGCGGCCTCTTGGCCTTTCTTGGGGCTCTCTGGACGGCCTCGAGGGCAGCGCCCAGGAGGAAAACCATCTCTGACCCGAGTCGCCCGGGACCTGCCCAGGGCCCCGTGCGCGCGAAGTAGAATTATTGTAGAGCAGTTACCAGAGATCCTAGCACGCCTCTGGCCCGTTTGGTCGGCGAATTCCCACTTCTCGTCCTCCGAGTTATCTTCCTTCTCCTTCCTTCCCTCGCTCCCCTTCCCAACTGTTGCTGCTGCTCCTCCTCCTTCCCGTCCTTCTCTCTCCTTCCCTCCTCCTCCTCTTGCTTGGCCGGGGTGCGCCGTCGTTGACAAATCGAGACGCATCCAGGCTTGGCCACGAAGGCCCCCCATGATGCCCAACAGTGCCCCCAAGCCTCGATACTCGATGCTCGGATCCACGGACCCTCGGGCCCTCGAGATCTGAGAGGTGCGAGCCCCTCGAGCAAGCGAGCCTCGATCCTCGGGGACCAGGGGGCCCAGTGGCCCAGTCGGGTCGCGGGGGCATCCATCCCGGGCCGCACTGCGTCGAGTGGGTCTTGCCTTGCCTCAGATTGGTACGGTGGGTTCGCACCGTATCGACCGGCGGCGACCCCAGCGCGGGCGTTCAAGGTTGAACACGACGCTGGCGACCCAGAGTCGGTCGATGCGGAACGATCCGTCGTCTCGGAAGCGACCGAGCGTTCAAGGCTGAGCGATCCCCGCGGTGTCCTCGACATCGCTCGGACGTGTGCATTTTTTGCTCGGCGAGGCCCCTCGAGGATCATCTTGGATCATCCTGAGGACAAAAAACCCGCGAGCGAGCGAGCCAAGCGAGCATGCCTGGCGGCTGCTCGGCCCTTTGCAGGGCATGGGCGAGCAATCAGTCTACCAGCCAGACAACTGACAACACATTTGTGACACATGAACAGAAATATGGAGTGGGGAATCTGGAACAATGCAGAAGAAGGGGGGAGGGAGGGATGGGGGAGAGGGGAGGGAGGAGGGAGGGGCATCACACCTCGGCCCATCGGGCTCCGTCGGAGCCTGTCTGGGGTCCGAGGTGGTCCCGTGTGGAGGTTTTACGGTGCTTCGGCGTTTCGGCCGGCCAGCTCGAGTTTTGGTGGGAGCGGGAGCTGGCCTCGGCGCCTCCTGAGGAGGATGAGGAGGACGTGTCCGTCCTCAAACGAGCTGGGGCCAGTTTTGTTTCCGTTTTAGGCGCGGCCGGCATTGCCCCGCTGCCTAACTCAGCAGCGGTGGTAATGGGAGGGAGGGGCCTCACACCTCACGGGTAGTGGGCATCACACCTCGCGCACGACGTCGAACCAGTGCACTCGGATGCAACTCCTGGGAGGTCAAATTCTGACTTTGCCCTGGTCCGAAAACCGGCTTAATCCTGCTTAATCCCGCTTAATCCGGCTTAATCCCGCTCAATCCCGCTTAATCCGGCTTAATCCTGCTTAGTCTGAGGCCCATTCCGGCGTAACAGTCCCCAAATGGGACTTAATCCTCTTTAATTTCTCCGACGAAAACCTCCCAGTAGTTGCCTCCTAAGGGTGGTGGGCATCACACCTCGCGCACGACGTCGAACCAGTGCACGGGGAAGGGACGTCCGAGCGAAGGATTGCAAAAAACCGAAGGATTGCAAAAAACCCAGGATTGCAAAAAACCTCGGTTTTTTGCAATCCTTCACCCAGGTTTTTTGCAATCCTTCGGTTTTTTGCAATCCTTCGTTCAAGGAAGGGACGTCCGAGCGAGGGCACGCGTCGGGGCACCCACGCGGGGATCGGCACGCCGCGCACCCACGGCCCAGCGCCCTCCTCGAGCCCTCGAGCCTCTCTCTCTGTCTGGCGGGCGTCGGGAGGGGAAAGAGCACACGCAGGCACAACTCCTCGGCGACGCCCAGGAAGGCAGGGGAAGCCATCCGACCCCGATGGGGAGGAGGGCGCGGAGCATGGGGAGGGAAACGAGGAGGGGGACAGGAGGAAGAGGTGGGTGAGGAGGAGTAGAAGCACAGGGGGGGAGCGAATAGGATGAGAGTGAGGCGAGCAGGGTCGCATGTACAGGTGGAGGGGGGGGGGCACGAAGGAAGGGCAGGGGCGAGTAGAGCGTGGCGATCATGAGGAGGAGAAGGGGGGAGATACTGGCGAGGATTGGACGATTCGGGGCGTCTTGGAGCCCTCCTGGGGCGACTTCCTCGCTAGGTTCGGCATCTTGGGCATCTGGGCGGCCACGGAGTGTAGATTTGGAGGGCGCCGGGGCCAGGACCTGCAGGGGGCCGGGGCCGGAGCGTGCCTGGAGCCAGGGCCAGGGCCAGGGCCGGGGCCGGGGCCGGGACAGGGAGCCAGGGCCGGGGGGCTGGGGCTGGCCAGCTGACTGCCTTGGGACCGAGGCTGGGACCAGCTGCGGTCGGGGCCGGGGCCAGGGCCAGAACTGGGGATCGGAACCGTGACAACAATCGGAAGCCGGAGCCTGGGGCCGAGACCGGGGCTGGGACCAGCCGCCAGCCGCGGCCGGGGCCAGGGTTGGGGCCGGGAGCGGGAGCCGGGACCGGGGGCGAGGGCCGGCGGGGTCGGAGACTGGGCCGGGGCCGGGAATTGGAGCGGGGCCAGGGCCAGAGCTTGGGACCGGAGCTGGAGCCGGGGCCCGGAGCCAGGAGCCGGGGTCAGGGCCGGGGCCCGGCCAGGGCCAGGGCTGGGTCTGGGGCCAGGGCCGAACCGCCCAGGGGGGGGGGCGCGTCTGACCCAGGACTTCCCCCGGGTTCTGTGGCCAGAGCCGGGGCCGGGGCCAGGAGCCGGGGTCAGGGCCAGTGCCCGGCCGGTGCTGGGGGCCATGGCGATACGAACAGGGGGGAGTCGTATTATTTGACCCAGGACTTCGCCGGGATTTCACCGGGACCCCCCCCCAGCGGGAAGGAATGAAAGGGAAGGGGTTCCCCTCGACGTCTTCTTGGAATTTTGCGGAGCCTCGGGATTCGCGAGCTTCTTGGGAGAGGCGTCGTTTCTGACCCATCATTCAGGACAGCGTCAGAGACAACAGAGAAGAAGCGAACAGCATCTTCCAAACGCCGACAGGGTCGGCGGATTTAGTTATGTGTCCTTGGGCCCCTTCAGAGAGGGCCGCGGCGCGGCGCGCGCGCGCGCCCCCTGGCGGCGGCGCTCGCCGAGGTGTGCAAGCGGGTGTGCACAGAGGAGCCGCGGTGCCCGGTGTGGCAGGCGCCCCCCCCCCGCCATTCGTTGGACGCGTGTGTATAACGGGATGGCGATTTTTTTGGGGGGGGCAGCGAGGGCCGCAGAAAAAAATTGCCCCTCAGGGCCCAGGAAAGGGGCCTCTTGGGGCCCAGACGGGGGCCTTTTGAGGGCCCGAAAAGGACACCCTTCTCCCCTCCCCCCCGCCATTCGGAGGACGCGTAATGCGGGGGGCGATGCGTGGGGGGGGGCAGCGAGGGCTGCAGAACAAGGGGCTCACCAGGGCCCCCGAAGGTGGCCTTTTGGCGCCCCAAAGGGGGCCTTGGGGGCCCGAGAAAAGGTGCCCTTTTCGCCCCCCCCCGCCATCGCCAAGGTGAGGTTCAAGCCTCGGTCCGCAAGTCTCCCCTTTATTCGTCGATTCTGCGCCATGGCATGGGCCAAGAAGCAATGGATTGAAACGCTGAGCAGTAAAGATTCTTGTTTGGAGAGGCGATGGCAATACATATCAGACCCGAGGAGGGAACGCAGAAAGTTGCCAGAAGTGATCATCGATAACCTCGACGCGATATCGAATGATCAGCTGGATATTCTCCGCCAGCTAGGTGGAATCGAGTCCCACACTCTGCGTACATACGTGCAGTCCAATCAATATTGTCAGCACCATGTCCCATTGGATCTGATCGTAGCAATACGAGGGTCAACTTGGTATATTGAGGTGCCTAAAGGTTGAATGCGTCGAGAAAACAATCGAAGCTCCCGAGATTGTACATGTGGAGAAGGTCGTGGGGCAGTTCGGATGTATGCCAAACGCTCGTGACAATGTCAGCCGTGACGAGCTGAACAGAGATGACGCCCCTGCTTGTGAGACGAGTCGAGCTCCCAGCAAACAAGGGACGATCAAGGAAGCGGAGGCCACAATCGACGGTCTTCTAGCGAGTATTCAGACACAGGTCGGGTTGTTCATCGGTGCTAAGGACGAGACAGGTTACATAGATCAAGTGTTCGAGAAATTGGCAACCAACATGGGAATTTTAAATCGACGTTTCCAAATCCAAGCCACACGAAATAATCCAGGGATGAAGAGGAGCATGCGACACATTTCACAGCGGGACAGGAGACCCGTTGAACAAGACCAACGATTTTTTTTGGAATTGATGTACACAATTGCATAAACGGTGGCCGAGGTGATGAGTATTACCGCACAAACGCATACGAGGCAATTGTGCCCCTGTTTTGCGTAACCGTCCATTATCAAACTGATGAGAAATATTGATTCAATGAGTCAAGGATTCGAGTTCCGGGATTCTGAAACAATCGTGTACTACGACATCTGAGTTTTGGCGCTCTAGCCCCCCCCGCCGAGCTTTTGGAGGGCCCCCCCCCCGGGGCGAACAGCGGCGCCTTGCCTTGCCTTGCCCCCCTTCACCGCCCCCCATTACTTCGCGCCCCACGTCGCCCTGGTGCGGTGGGGGGCGGCGCGAGAGGGCAGGAGGACCCCGCGGGGCGCACGGCCAGAGGAGGCGTCTCTGGGCCTTCCGGGGGTCTCCTCGTCGCCACGGCTGGCTCCGCCTCGAAGTCCTGGCCCCAGGCACGCCCCCGGGAAAGCTGCGGGGGCGATTTCCGACGGGGGGGGTATTGGTAGGGGTGAGGAGGGCGATAGGGAGGAGGGGGAGGAGGAGGGGGAGGATGAGGAGGAGGAGGAGGAGGAGGAGGAGGAGGAGGAGGAGGAGGAGGAGGAGGAGGAGGAGGAGGAGGAGGAGGAGGAGGAGGAGGAGGAGGAGGCGGAGGCGGAGGCGGAGGCGGAGGCGGAGGCGGAGGCGGAGGAGGAGGGGGAGGCGAGGAGGCGGAGGAGACGGAGGAGGCGGAGGAGGAGGAGGAGGAGGAGGAGGACGAGGAGGAGTTCCCCCCTTCACTCCTTTCCTGGCCTCGCCGGCACGTTCCCCCCCAGCTGGCGCCATCAGGGCCTCGGAGTGCCTCCGCGAGAGAAGCATGTGCAGAGGAAGGGGGGGGGGGCGTGAGCGGGGCGTGCCCATGGGGCCGCCCGACTTCTGCAACCTCCCACGAGGACCGTCGCGCAAACTGGCAGCGGAAAATGATAAACATGGGCTAGTCAGGGTGCGTCGGGGATGCTGTAATGCACCCTCCCGCTGCAGCTCCCCTCCTCAACAAAAATACCTAAAGGCATGCGTCCGCACTGCGGGAAGCACCCCTTGGAAGGACGAGCGCGCCCCACGGCCTTGTCATGCAGGCGAGAGCCCCGTCTTGAGAATAGCTGCCCGCCGACGAGCGCGACAGGTCCAACACGTGCCGAGTAGGAGAGCCCCGCTTGGAAAAGGCGCCGCCCTGTGCCTTTCAGCTGTTGTGGAACAAAGCTGCGCGTCGGGTCGCACCTGATGAGGAAGCTTCGAGCGAGAGCCCCGTCTTGAAGAGGAACCGCCCTCCATCATTGGTTGTACACCTTGAGGAAGTGGTCCCGTTTTGAAGAGGAGCCGCCCTCCATCTTCGTAGCCGCTGTACCCTTGTACATTTTGAGTTGGACCCTTTGGGGGAGTGTCGCGCGAGTGTCCCGTTGGCCCCTCCGTCCTCGTGCAAGGAATTCCCAAGCAAGGACATTCAGAAAAAGGAGCCGCGGTGTTGAAACGAGATGAACATACTCAAGCGGGCTGCTTTCCACCTTCGTAATGGGTCGGATATGTTGAATGAAGTCGGCGCTTTAGTTTCAGCGCGGTAATTTCTTGTTGGCATCTGTTGGGCATTCTATTGCTATGCGACCATAAGTCAGGGGATCCCAGACGAACCGCACTGTTCTACTGACACGTTGAGTGGTCCGACGAGGATGGCTTATCTACCAGGAGTATAGATGGAGAAGGAGGCTGAGCAGGGGGAGGATGAGGAGGGGAAGAATCAGCACATGTTTAGACCTTTCTCTGTGGGTATCCCTGGAAACAGGAGCAGATGTATGAGTCAAGTTAGACAGGTCGAGTGAGTCAGCGGGCCCCGCCCATTCCCACCCGCTTCCCATACTATGTTTGCCAGCGTGGACCCCAAACAGGGCGTTATTGCACTGTGGATGTGTAAGCTATGTGGTGCAAGCTATGTGGTGCAAGCTATGCCTGAGAGCTATGTGGTGCAAGGTATATGGCGTAATCAACGCGGCGCAAGCTTTGTGGCACACACTGTGTGGTTTAATGTCTGTGGTGTGGGCTATGCGGTACAATCCACGTGGTGTAAGCTAGGTGGTGCAATGTGCGCGGCGCAAGGTGTGTGGAGCAACTTCCGCGGTGCTATATACGTGGTATACTTAAATTTTGTGTTGCAGCTATGGTGGTTCACAGAAGCGGACGAGGCGTTCACCAGCGGCAACGTGGCGAAACCTCGCAGGACCCAACCAGCGCACGAGGCGGCCACGAGGCGACCACGGGTGGCAACTTGGCGAAACCTTGCCGGACCCACCCAGCGCACGAGGCGGCCAGGAGGCGGCCAGGAGGCGGCCAGGAGGCGGCCACGAGGCGGCCACGGACGACAACGTGGCGAAACCCTGCTAGACCCACCCAGCGCCACGGGCGGCAACGTGGCGAACCTCGCCGGGCTCTCACCATGCACAAGGCGGCCACGAGGCGGCCACGGGCGGCAACGTGGCGAAACCTCGCAGGATCCATCCCGCGCACGAGGCGGCTATGAGGTGGCCGTGGGCGGCAATATGGCGAAACCTCGCCAGACTCTCCCTTCGCCTCCCCCTCCATCCCTCCTCCCGACGCCCCCCGTGCCGCGCCTTGAGCTGCGCACGCCCTGTTTCATCGACGCTGACGCGGCATTGTGCAGTACAGCCGCTGGCATCCCCGCGCAGCGCCCCAGGGAGGTGCGTTTGCCTCTTCAGACGAACGTGCGCTCTCCACTCCCCCTTTCCTTTTTTCCCAACCAACCTGTGTTGTTCCCCACATCCTAAGTGGGGTTCTTGTTTTCTCTGCACACCCTCCGCGCAGGATCTCTCGTCCTCCTCCCTCTCCTCTGCTCCTCTTTGCTTCCTCCTCCGCATCACCATCACCATCACCATCACTCCCCACTCATCATCATCATCATCATCACCATCAGCATCACCATCACCATCGCACGATCACTCACCATCATCGGCATCGAACGATCATCATCATCATCATCATCATCATCATCATCATCATCGTCATCATCATCATCATCATCATCATCACTACTCGCTGACTCACCACTTCGTCCCCATCATCATCACCACCATTTACCATCATAATCGCACGATCACTCACCATCAGCACTCATCATCACCACCATCATCATCATCACGTCGTCATCATCACCACCACCACCATCATCATCATCATCGTCATCATCATCATCATCATCATCATCAGCATCATCATCATCATCATCATCATCATCATCATCATCATCATCATCATCATCATCATCATCATCATCAATCATATATCATCATCAAACACCGTCGTCATCATCCTATCACCATCATCCACCAAGAGGGAGCCTCGTCTGTGAGTGAATTGTGAGGAAGTCTCAGGCGGGAGCCCCCTCCCTATGGGGCCCGCAGATCATGTTATTAATCCGAGCGGGTCATCGGATTCCTGTAACTGTCGTCACTTTTTGGCTCCTCAGGTCTGAATTTGGAAGAAGTATCAAGCGGGACCCTCGTCTGTGAGTGATTGTGAGGAAGGCTCAGGCGGGAGCCCCCTCTCTATGGGGCCCGCAGATCATGTTGGTAATCCGAGCGGGCCATCGGAACCCTGTAACTGTCGTCACTGTTGGGCTCCTCAAGCCTGAATTTGGAGGAAGTCTCAGGCGGGAGCCTCGTCTCTGAGTGAATTGTGAGGAAGTCTCAGGCGGGAGCCCCCTCCCTATGGGGCCCGCAGATCATGTTAGTAATCCGAGCGGGTCATCGGAACCCTGTAAATGTCCCGTCACTTTTGGCTCCTCGGTCTGAATTTGGAAGAGTTATCAAGCGGGACTTCGTCCTTTGAGTGAATTGTGAGGACGCGTCAGGCGGGAAGCCCCCTCCCTATGGGGCCCGCAGATCAATGGTTTATCTAATCCGAGCGGGTCATACGATTCCTGTAACAATACGATTCCTGTAACTGTCGTCAACTTTGGGCTCCTCAAGCCTGACTATGGAGGAAGTCTCAGGCGGGAGCCTCGTCTGTGAGTGAATTGGGGGGAAGTCTCAGGCGGGAGCTCCCTCCCTATGGGGCCCGCAGATCATGTTGGTAATCCGAGCGGGTCATCGGAACCCTGTAACTGTCGTCATTTTTGGGCTCCTCAAGCCTGAATGTGGAGGAAGTCTCAGGCGGGAGCCTCGTCTGTGAGTGAACTGCGAGGAAGTCTCAGGCGGGAGCCCCCTCCCTATGGGGCCCGCAGATCATGTTATTAATCCGAGCGGGTCATCGGATTCTTGTAACTGTCGTCACTTTTGGGATCCTCAGGTCTGAATTTGGAGGAAGTATCAAGCGGGAACCTCGTCTGTGAGTGAATTGTGAGGAAGTCTCAAGCGGGAGCCCCCTCCCTATGGGGCCCGCAGATCATGTTATTAATCTAAGCGGGTCATCGGATTCCTGTAACTGTCGTCACTTTTGGGCTCCTCAGGTTTGAACTTGGAGGAAGTATCAGGCGGGAGCCTCGTTTGTCAGTGAATTCTTTACGCTTCGCGTATCCCCATCAGCCCATCTCACAACAGCAACTCTTGCGAAGCATGCCGACAGTGATGTTTTTCAGGCGTGTGTCCGCTTGCCCCCGCATATCTCCCCTGTTCCTCCTTCCTCCCGCCTCCTTGTTCCTCCTTGTGGGGGGAGCGGGAGAAGGACGAGGCGGAGGAGGAGGGAGAGAAAGCGCTCCTCGTGATTTGAGTCGTTTGGGGTTTCTCGTCCTGTTGTGAGTCGTTCGGGCCCTTCTTCCTGGTGTGAGTCGTTCGGGCTCTTCGTGGTGTGAGTCGTTCGGGCTCTTCGTCCTGGTGTGAGTCGTTCGGGCTTCTCGTGGTGTGAGTTGTTCGGGCCCCTCGTCCTGGTGTGAGTCGTTCGGGCACCTCCTCCTGGTGTGACTCGTTCGGGCTCCTCGTGGTGTGAGTCGTTCGGGGCCCTCGTCGTGGTGTGAGTCGTTCGGGCTCCTCGTGGTGTGAGTCGTTAGGGCGCCTCGTCCTGGTGTGAGTCGTTCGGGCCCCTCCTTCTGGTG